TATTTCTGCCAGTATGTCTACCAATATGTCTGTCAGTATGTCTGCCAGTATGTCCACCAGTTTGTCCTCCAGTATATCTGCCAGTTTGTCTGCCAGTATGTCCGTGGTTACTAGGTCATGGTAGAAAATTCTTATGTCATATACATTTGGATTCTCCCAGTTCGGAGCTAACCGAGGTTAAAGTGACTATACACAATAAACACAAGTCGGATCAAAAGTTCACAGTTCATACAAGACTTCAGGTATCTGATAAGAAACACAGTTTAATTATTGAATTTATTATTTATGTAGCACACACCAAGGGGCGTACACCATGCTTCTTCAAAACCTGACGCAGAAAGGCACAACAACTACAACAGCAGCAACAACTACTACAACAATAACTACTACTACTACTTACTGCTACTGCTGCTGCTTTTGCTACTAGTACTGCTGCTGGTACTGCTGCTCTTACTACTTCTACCACCACCACCACTACCACTTCTACTACTACTACAAGCATCACCACCACCACTACTACTACCACCACCACTACTACTACTACTCTTGACATAGCACTGTTAAGATTGATGTTCATTTCTGAAGGCTGTTCTTAATGCCATCACTCTATTTTTCAGAGGTCTTCCGCTCGCTCTATCTGGTAATCTGGTAATTTTAATTTCAGCTTCATAGCAAACGGGTCACCCCATCTTTGCTCCGCTACTGTGCCAACGAAAAACACACAGAATGTTTATCACAGTCCCTTGTGGAAAGATTGACAAACTGCTGTCTCAGCAAATCTAGCATACACTCGCATTAAAAGCATATTGTCGCCATCTGAAGTGCTAACACAAACAGTCCGACGTAAGAAATGCAGTTCATCATTGATGGTAGCAGAAGTCATTAAAAGGTCAGCAGTTGCACACGCGATAAATTTTAATCAAATAATGGCCCCACCAATATTGCGACAACCGGCATCGCGCCATTTTCTGAATCTACAAATCACACCACCACGTTGGTCAGTCGAAAAATATTCCAAATGAAATCCGCAGCTCACAGTGTCACGCCATGCACTCAACTCAGAAGCTGGGCAACGAAATTATATAATTCCAGTCTACAAATGGAGCAAAAAAGCAACGGCCACAGTCTGGCAGAAGCAAAAATGTATGCCTCGGCTCAAAGCAGTGGCAGTGCCTAGTGTTTCCGCTCGCTCTATACCCGTTGTAACGTTTCAGTGTGGCTCTCTGGGGTAGAATTCGTACACATAGACATAATAAGGGACGTTCAACCTTAACAATTTCTGATCTTCAGTGAAGATATAATTGAAAATTGTAGATGAGGTGCCCTGTGTCATTCTGGGATAATTACTTTCGTGAGGCGGAGACTCCATCACGGAGAATTCATGGGGTTGAAAAAAAAAGGGGGGAGAGGGGAGGCTGGAGTCAGTCCCTGTTAATTTTCTAGGGTTTGGAACCTAAAGTGTTTAAGTGTGCAATGATAATTGTTATCGTTATTGTTATTAAGATGTGCTGAGTGACATTTTATCGTCAGAAGGAACTCCCTCGGTGAATGTCCTTTCAATTGTGTGTGTTGGCAGACTACCGCCAGAGTCGTGGTCAGTATTTGGTTCTGACCTTTACCTGATAGGCAGCCGCTGTAGTCTAGCAGCTTGACGCTGGCCTGGGGATCCGAAGGTCGTGGGTTCGGGTCCTGACAGGGGCCGAGATTTTTTTTGTCTCCAAAAATTACCTCGGCTCCCAGGTCGACCCAGCCTTGAGTGAGTACCAGGCACAGTCCTGGGAATTAACGGCGGCCGGCGTGATGCTGACCACATCACCCAACAAGCACTGCTTGGTTTATAAAATTTAGGTCTAGCCCTATATACCCAATACGCCTGTAGGCACGGAAAAGGCTCCATTACTTTTACTGTACCTGACAGAGAAAAGCTCCCAATGGTACACAGTTACACAACACGCAGTAGGTTATCGTCCCTTCTAGCAGTCCTGACGAACTTCAACAAATCGGCAACTCAGTAACCGTCCGATGTCAGTTTGATTGCTGAAAATGGAAACACGACTGGTTTTCACGTTTTGAACAACGGATCTACATCATATCTCATGGGTAGTAACCCATAAATTCTTCCGTTCTTTTTCTAACTCAAGTCTGAGTACGAAGAAGCTCAGCATAGTGCACGGGCTCTGTAGCACCGGCGAGGATCCTGAAATACTTTAGGTAGATTTTAAACTCCAAATTTTGCCCGGGCAGCCCCGTTGGGCTACTCTTTTCGATTTCCAACTGCCAAGTGATTTTTTACATGCGCAACAATGCACACGGGCGTCCGATCTCACTACCCAGAGACCAGGGGGAATTACTAGAAGTTCAAGTGAAAAAATCCCTGCCCTTACCGGAGATTGACCCCGAAACCTCTAGCAGTCTACAAAATATATGAATCTATCCCAATCTGCCCTATATTTGCTAAATGGCAGGAAAAGGGTCAATTCCTTCACTTTACAACTGTCAGCGAGATCCCCATTCTAGTACACAAAGGGCCGCAATCGGCCTGCGAGAGACAGGTTAGGAATCATTGAGCTGGTGACAATAATATCTACCATGTCCCTTTTGTGATCAATTGTAAACTAGGGCTTTGGAACTCGGCTAGACTGTTCTTTGACAACAAAAGCTAAACGACTGGTCCTTTTTTACCTATCTACCCGTACACAGTAGAGAACTTTTCATCTGTTCAGTGACAGTTGGCTGGGTTTATCGTGTTTGATGTCTACTGTTCTTGTCTCGGTTTGAACGTTTGAGGTCATTGGAGTTTCTGTTCACTGGAGATTTGGTTTGTCACAGGTTTGTTTTTGGCTATACAGCTTATAAAGTTTGCTTTTTCTTATTTTGTTTTAAATCAAGTTATGTAAGCTTAGTTGTAATTTTATAAAACGAAAGTTGAAGGTACATATAACAGGGGTAAACATATTCGGACTTTTAATCAGGTTATAACTGTATATATTATCATGTCAACTTTTCGTTGGCTATTGAAGACGAGTAAGTGTGAAAATGTGCAGTGGTGTACATTCTTGACTTGTTCATTCATTCATTCATTCATTCATTCATTCATTCATTCATTCATTCATTTATTCATTCATTCATTCATTCATTCATTCATTCATTCATTCATTCATTCATTCATTCATTCATTCATTCATTCATTCATTCATTCATTCATTCATGCATCCATTCATGCATTCATGCATTCATTCATTCATTCATTCTCATGTAGAACACTCAAGCTGCTTTCTGACTTTCTTCTATCCTGAGCAAATCGCCAAACCATTTGATTCGTTGAGGTTCTATGTAACGATTTACCAGAACTGTGCCTATAGTTGTTCTTAGCTGTTCTTTGGTGACTCCTTTTGTGTGCAGCTGGTACATATGAGCATATTGGGCATAATGAGTGGCGTACAACACCACCAGGACCACACAACGAGTGATAAACACCCGGTGACACAAAGTGCCAGATGGGAACTGGCCGGTTCTGCACCACTTAGTGGTGAACTGATATATGGCAAGCGAGATGTTGTGAGGGCCCTTTGGGAGCGAGTGAACAGTGCCGAGGCACAAACAGATCATTACGGTCTGAGGAGAATGGCACTGCGAGGAGTTACAAGGGGATCTGGCCGACGCTCGAAACTCGGGGGAGGGGCGAAACGGATATACAATCAGACTGTTACTGGTACCATCGGAATTTTAACTCTTCGCTTGCTGCTGAAGATGGGGACGGAGCGATTATGGGAGTGTCCCGAGTGCTGTGATGTCGATTCTTAATTCAACATTCAACAGATGGGAATCGCCCTGGTAAGCGTCCCAGAAACTCCCAGCAACTGTTGGGTTATATTAGAGCTCCCGAAAACAGCATGAGTTGGGTTTTTAAATAACCAAAAATTGTGTCCCATATTAGAGCGAGGATAAATCTATACACACGCATAACTTGACTTATTTGCACACACACAAAAAAGAAAAAAAAAAGAAAAAAAAAATACATGGTACGTTCTACCAGAATCTCCCCCAAAGGGAACCCTTTGGTTATAATTGTGACTAGGTTGTGCCACATAAAATGGCTTAGTTGGGCATAATGCAACCATTTGATAAACCATAAAGTGGAAAAGTATAATAAAAATATCCCACAGGATTTACCAATAAACGGGCGGTGATTTACTTTATGACTAAATGAGTTAAAATGTCTCGGTATCTGAATACATTCAGTGTGTGATTTACTTTCAGATTATCTCATCACCAGAGCCGCCGAAAGTAGATCTAACAGTGCCATCGCATTTACAGCGATAAGTACCCAGCTCTGTCAAAACTGTTCCAGCTTGTCAAGGACAATTTCTTACATCTAACGGAGCTTTACCCCGTTTCTAACGGAGTATTTACTTTTGTATTATACAGGTTGACAGGAAAACAGTCAATTTCTAAGACACTATTGGTTACTTCTGTCGGAATATTAATAGTTTCTAGCGAAACACGCAGATCTCCTAGCAAATAATTTTCCAGTACTGGCATATAATTTCCCATTTCCAACAAATCTCCAGTTTCCATAGGAATTTTCTCTATAGCCATCGGAAGATACACAACTGGAATGGAACATTCTATTGCTCAAACCAGTCAGTCCGTTTCAATGATTGATAACACATTTATAAGGTAATATTGATTACTTCTGGCGGATTATTCATAGTTTCTAGCGAAACACGCAAATCTCCTAGCAAATAATTTTCCTGTATCAGCATATAATTTCCAACAAATCTCCAGGTTCCAGAGGAATTTTCTCGACAGCCATCGGAAGTTACACAGCGGGAACGGAACATTCTCACTCTTCGTCCAATCAACCAGTCCCTTTGATGGAACGCTGACCTACTTCAGTTAAACACGCTGAGTTCTAGTGAGTGATTTCCTTGGAGTCACAGACCAAATCGAATCCCGACCTGACAGCTCTATACTCTAGGTTTAAGCACAAGTGAACAATGTCTCATAAATCAACGACGCGCATGCTCACACTGACTTCCCTTGTCATTGCAGTCTTACATATTACTTACGGAGCAACAGATTCAAGCAATGACCAGCTTCCTTCTTTAAAAACAGAAAGCGATAAATCTCCCCTGTCCATTGAGATCGTTTCTAACATGGGAAAACCCGGGGCTTTGCTGTATGATCTAGAATCGGTGGCGACTATCACGTTAAAATACCAGCTCAACTGTACATCTGTCGACGTTGTTCACACAATTTTGGCCTCGACCTCAGACCATCACGTCGCTGTCATCACAGATAATTCTTCTTTTGACATTTCCTGCAACCCTGCTCGCTCGGGGGACAATAGTTTCAATGAAACAGATAATTTTGAGACATCAACTACAGACAGGATTGAAGAATGGAATTCATCAGTAGAAAATTCTAGCATTGTGAACTTACTTAGAGGGGAGGTAAGAATGACAGTTAACGCTAAGTTGATTGGAAGATCGTTCCTAATTTTACATGCGCAGGAGAGGCATTTAAACCTTAGTCAAACCGACGGAGATCCTTCTTCTTCTCCTACATTCCACTGGCTATCCTTGACTGAAACGACTACCAAATATAGCTACCAATTTGCATCTGAATTCGGACAGGAACTGCAAGAATCACAGAACTCCAATCAACTATCCAGCAATGAAGAAATGCCGACGGTTGAAGTTACCAGAGTTATGATCATTGTTATGAAGCTCCCGCGGACGCTTGACAAGGTGTTCCGGATAGTTCTGTACAACGTGATTATCATGGCAACGATCGGCATGGGTGTGAAGATCGACTTTGTGGTTATCAGGAAAGTGCTGAAGAATCCAGTTGCACCGGTTATCGGACTTTGTTGTCAATATATCTGTATGCCAGTGGTAAGTAGATAAACTACTTAGTTTTTAACCTAGTCATCTCCTTGCGAGATGCAATTTTTCGTTATTTTGAAGCCCCACCCTGGCTCTTACCAGGGGCCATATGGGGGCACTTTGTGTCATCGGGTGTTTATCGCTTGTGTGATGTCCTAGTGGGGTAAAATGTATTACTTTTACTAAGTAAACTTAAAGAAAAACTAAATGACAGACTATATGCTGTTGTAATTCATCATTCATTGGCACCTTTCCGTCTTTCCAGACGATGGTGTTATATTGCGCTATGAGAAATCATGAGACTCACAGCCCATGCCCATGGCGAGTGTGGCTAGCAAGACCCGACCCATGTCAAGAAAAGTCTTCCACAATGATAGCATGGGATTTCAGCACCATTGTTGTCAACATTTGTGTTTAATCCGTTTCTTTTCAGACGCTCAGCTCTCATCCTTTCTGCAATCATTTCTTCCTTTAGTCGCATTTCCTTCCTGACATGCCCTTTCCACACAACACGGTCCATGGCATTTTGTTTCTATGAGTCCACCTCAATACCTGTATCATTCATGTCCCGCTTGCACACATCTTTATAACGTAGTAGAGGTCGGCCTCTTCCTGTCTTTAATTCACCCTAAAGGATGTCCTTAGGGTCTCTGCCATCCTCCATTCTACAGGTGTGACCCAGCCACCTGAGCCTTTGTAGACTGAGCATGGAAAAGACTGTTGTAGTACCAGCTCTTTCCAGTACGTCAGTGATTGTGATTTTGTCCTGCCACTTAATGCCAAGTATTCTTTTTAGGCATCGCATGTGAAAGCTATCAAGCCGTCTCTCCTGGTGCAAATAGGCTGACCAAGATTCACTGCCGTAAAGCAGAGTGCTGAGAACACAAGCCTTATAGACAAGGGTCTTTGTTTTAATTATGAGCTTTCTGTTCTCCCAAACTCTCTTTGTCAATCTGCTCATTGTTTTTGCTGCCTTACCTATTCTGATGTTGATTTCTTGGTCCAGCGATAGTTTGCTATTCACCATGGAATCCAGATAGGTAAAATGGTCTACTGTCAAGCTCTTTAACGTCAATGTAGACTGTAAGTCTATCATTACCACCTTGCCTCATAACATTTGTCTTCTTTTTGCTGACTGTTAGTCCAAATTCACAGCATGCATCAGCAAAGGCAGATAGCAAACATTGCAGCTCCTCCTCTGAGTGGGTGGTTATTGCTGCATCATCTGCAAACAGCAGCTCTCTGATAAGTACCTTTCTTATCCTGGTTTTGGCCTTCAGTCTGCGTGCATTGTAAAGGCTGCCGTCAGATCGAAAATGAATGAAAATACCACTTTCCTGATCTCGAAAGGCATGTGTCAAAAGAAGTGGACAGTATATTCCAAAGAGGGTAGGAGCAAGTACACACCCCTGCTTTACTCCATTTCTAATTATAAACTCCTCCGATGTTACACCATCAAAGTTGATTGTACCTTTCATACCTGTATGGAACGACTCAATAATGCCCAGTAGAGTAGGTGGACACTCAATCTTCTTCAGTGCGTTAAACAGACCTTTTCGACTAACCAAACCAAATGCCTTGGTAAGATCAACAAAAGCAACATACAGTGGTTGATTTTGTTCGCTACATTTTTCCTGCAACTGTCGTATTGAAAATATCATATCATTGGTAGATCTGCTCCCACGAAAGCCACACTGGGACTCTAGGTAAACGCGGTCCCCCAGGATCTAGAGTCTTCGCAGAACAATTCTCGCAAGCAGTTTTCCCACATTACACAGCAGTGATATTCCCCTGTAGTTATTGCAGTCACTCCGATCACTCTTGTTCTTGAACATAGTTTGATGCTTGCGTCTTTGAAATCTGTCCCTGTTGTAATTAGGTAGCGTGCTTATAGACAACCTGTAAATGGTAGTCTCTCTCTTTTCTCCTCTTGGAAATCCTTGCAGCGTCAGGGCAGGACGAGATTTCTGGAACGGGCCCTTGTGTTCGCTTTGTAAATAGTACTTTTTAGTGTCTCCTATATTTCCGCGGTCCATTTTCTGCGAGGTCGACCTCTAGATCAGTTGCCGCTGTAGATGTATAACATTGCTCTATGTGTGCCCTGTTTGTTACCAGGCTTGTTATATGACCAAACCCTTTCGATCTGTTGTTTACCGATAAAGTTCAGTATTTCTGTGCTGACTGTCCTGATATCATACAGATTCTGTTCTTCAGAAATCCAATTTGACCTTCACTAAGTTCTTGTGCCGATTGGTCTATACAAATATAGGTCTGGCCATATATGCCTTATACGCCTGAAGAGGGTCTTTTGTTGTTTACTAAGATGATAGGATGGGTCTTCTCAAAGATCGTACAAAATATTCTCAGTAACGACACTCCTGTATACGTCTCGACGTCTCTATTGATGCTTTTCTTTTTCCACATGGGTAGTGTCTGACATGGAAACTAAACGGCAGACTCTCTAACAGATGGTAAGACTATATTGACAGACAGACAGACAGACAGACAGACAGACAGACAGACAGACAGACAGACAGACAGACAGACAGACAGACAGACAGACAGACAGACAGACAGACAGACAGACAGACAGACAGACAGACAGACAGACAGACAGACAGACAGACAGACAGACAGACAGACAGACAGACAGACAGACAGACAGACAGAACGGCGCTCTCATCACAGTCTGCCTGTAAAAAACTCGGTCTCTCGCCAGTTCTCCCGCCTCATGAACTTTCACACTCAAGGAGTCACTTATATCCTGTGCCCATCTTCGTGTTGGTCGGCCTTTGCCCCTCCTTCCTGGTACCATGCTTTCTGCTATAATTTTTTCCAGTCCGTCGTGGCGCTTGATATGACCAAAGCTTTCGAGAAAGGATGCTGTTTATTAGCCAATCTTCCTTGATGTTCAGATCTTTTAAGATGTTAATATTTCTCATCTTCTTTATCCAAGATATTCTGAGAATCTTTCTATAGCATTTCAGCTCAAAAGCCCCTATTCTCTTTTTTAAGGACTGAGAGATAGTCCACGACTCACATCCGTATGTAGCCACAGGGAAGATGCATGCTCTCAAAATTCTAATTTTTATCTCCTTGCTGGTGCTTAACCATAGACTTTTAAGGCTGTTCAATCTTTGCATTGCTATGGCCATCCCCCTTTTAATTTCTGTCGAACAGTCTCCATTGTTGTTTATTACAGAGCCTAGATGTTAAAAGTTTGTGACATTTTCAATTTCTTCATCATTTATTGTTATTTTTGGGTGACAGCCAGTTTTATCTGTGGACATTTTTTTCGAACAGATTTTGATCTTCACTGTGCTTTTGGACAGACAATATTAAATTTTCGATTCCCTTTACGCTGTTCGAAAGGAGGACTGTGTCATCTGCGTAGCGGAGTTCCGGAGTAGGGTTGCCACCAATTTTGAGCGGATCATTACTGTCACACGTCTGGTCATTTTTGACATTTCTCATTATATTTTCTGCGTATATATTGAATAGGTATGGTGAAAGAATGCACCCCTGCCTCACCCCCTTTTGCACCTCGAACCAATCAGATGTTTCACCAGCTGCTCTGATGGCTGCTTGTTGTTCATGATAGAGATTTTCAATTAACTGCACTAAATTCTCTGGAAACCCCATACGTTTCATAATAGTCCACAGTTGGTGGTGCTGGACACAATCAATGCCTTGCTTTAATCAATAAAACAAGCATGAAGATCTACATTGTATTCTCTGCATTTTTCAAAAATTATTCTCATATTAAATATGTGTCCCCTAGTTCCTCCACCCTGTCTGAACCCCGCTTGTGCTTCATCTAGTTCATATTGTAATTTCCTTTCAATCCTTTTCATGATAATTCGTAAGAGGATTTTTTCTAGTATGACTTATTAATGCGATAGTGCTGTAGTTGGAGCATAGTTTTGGATTTCCTTTCTTTGGCAGAGGGATATAGACTGTTCTTTTCCACGCTTTAGGCCAAATGCCACTGTTCCAGATCATCGAGCACAGTGCATGATAGATTCGGACGCTGGCCTCTCCTCTACCTTTCCTCTTGCCTCAACCACTAGTATCAACAGTTATAAGGCAGAGAAGATGGCGCTATATTAGACACATCTTGATAAACGCTGAAAATGGAAATAGTGAGATTGATGAAACGAGGGCGTACAACTACAAGCCTAAAACAAACGGTTGATGTGAAAAACCAATGTGCTCGGCTGGATTTCATCCATGATATCCAAGATATTGCGTGGAATAGAACGGAAGCAAGGATTAGACTGTAAGCCTTGATAACATATAATGGCACAATAGGTCATTGATGATGACGATCACGTCAAAACTGCCCCCCCCCCCAAAAAAAAAGCCAATTACTGACTTTATTTTACCCCTTTTGCGGTGTAGGCAGGAGGGTCTTTCAGTCTGAGGATATACGGCCGCATGGCTAGTGCTGTCGCCACGACTGTGCAGGTGGGGTTTTTTGTGTGCCTCCGACAGAACAAAATCCTCAGCCTTACCGAGGATTCGAACCCGGACTCCCTCTTAAGAGCCCAGCGTTCTAGCCGTCTGGCCAGTGACGACGACGTCACAGCGATGACAAAAATGTTGATGACAAGTCGATGTATCTCCTCAGGTGAAGGTTACATACAATTACATCAGCATTATATATCATCATCTAGCAGGTCCTTTGCAGAACGTCGCTCTCATCACGGTCTGCCTGAAAGAAACTCGGTCTCTCGCCAGTTCTCCCGCCTCATGTACTTTCATACTCAAGGAGTCACTTATATCCCGTGCCCATCTTCGTGTCGGTCGGCCCCTGCCCCTCCTTCCTCATACCTTGCCTTCTGCTATTATAATTTTTTTTTCAATTCACTATGTCGCTTAGACTGACCAAAATATTTCAGCTTCGGAGACAAGATGCTGTTTATTAGCCAATCTTCCTTGATTCTCTTCTTTGTCCTTGGTATTCTGATAATCTTTCTATAGCATTTCAGCTCACAAGCTCATATTTTCTTTCTTAATGACTGGGAGACAGTCAACGACTCACATCCGTGTGTGCTAAAGGAAAGATGCATCATCATCATCGTGATCATCACCGTCCTTACCACCATCATCATCATGTACCCTGCCAACTGGCGTATGCGCTCATGCATCTCCACAGATCAGGATCCCTAGTTGCCTGCAACAGCTCTCTTGGGAGTTCAATACAAATCACTGGTGTGGTCTATTTTACGGATGTGAGGGCTGGACTCTCAATGTGGAAATGGAAAGGAGGATTCAGACTTTCGAATGTAAATGCTACAGACGCATTTTACAAATTAGTTATTTAGAACACAAAACTAATAAATATGTCAGAGATAAATTATACAAATTTGCGGGACATCAGGAGCTTCTCTTGGCAGCGGTGAAACGTCGCAGGCTAGCTTGGTTTGGGCACGTGGTGAGACATGATTCGATTGCAAAGACTGTACTTTAAGGAATATTGTGAGGTACTCGAAGAAGAGGAGGACAAAGAAGAACCTGGAGTGACAACATCAAGAAATGGAAAGGACTAAGTTATCACACACTTATTCATCAAGCAGAAGACAAAGAAAGATGGCGGGTTTTATGTGCTAGCGATTCCATCAATACACCTCCATGACCCTAATAGGTCAAGGTTATGTTATACTGTATTATGTATTCAATGACACTAGCTATTATAAATCTTATAAACAGAACGTATACAAAATCACATTTGACATTTCGTTTATAAGAACTTGACCAATCTGCAGATAGCTTACGGAGTTGCTAGAGTCGTGCCCCAGGAGTCTGCCGCAGTCTCATTGGGTATCTTCACTTGTGGGATCGTCCCCGGGGGCGGGATGAGCAACATGTTTACTTACCTATTGGGTGGCGACCTGTCACTGTCGGCTACCATGACAACAATGAGTAATATAGCAGCATTGGGTAAGTAAGTGTTAATTAAAGAATATGTCCAATCATTGAGCTCCTGAAAAGGTTCCGTGCATTGTGTGGGGTTTTTCTCGGAACTAACTGCATCGTTACGCAAAAGACGTCAACATAATCTGTGTTGCTAGATGACATCTCCAGAGACCCACCCCTGGATGTTTTGGATCGTCTGCTGCTTCTTCTTCACGCTCATTGGGTGTTTGCTCCGGTGTGGGGAAAAAACTGTGGTTTTCAGTCAATTTCTGGACTTTGAGATCTTGTTCCAGAATTTGATTTGTGCATGTACCTCCTGACTTATGTGTATGCCCCAGTTCGTTCCTCGCCTCTAAGGCAGATTCACTGCGGCCTCAAATAAAACATCCCTAATTAGTGGCTTCCTACGACATGCTTGTTGGAGGGGACAGTGGGTTTATTCTTGTGTTCCCATAGAATGGCGGCTCCTGCAGCTACACGGGATTTTTTGGACCCATTCTACTGATTTTTTTCCCCCCTCAATGTACTGCTTTCGACCACGCAGAATTCCTTTTGATCTAGGGCTGCCTGTTCCAGCCACCAAGTGTCGAGGCATGATCAGTTCGCATGTGTAAACATCAGCAGGCAATGATTACAATGGAGAGTGTTTCATGTGATATTTATCTCCTCGTCGCTTCGCTCTTGAAAAAATGCATGCGCAACTTGCAGTGTAGCTCAAATAACGGGTGGCTTCCCCACGTTACAGTTTCTGTATGAATGGCATTCGCATGCAGTAAGCATTTCTTTTTTCTCTTCTATTTCAAAGACGTAATTACACAAGGGAGATGATTGGTCGTAGACCACGAGGCAGACCATGAAGACATAGAGAGATAATGTCCAGGCAGACCTGCAAACATGTGGTGTCACCAACTGGAAAGTAAAGGCCAACCAGAGAGATGAATGGAGGCGGGTGATATCTGCAGCAATGAACCCCATGGGCTCGGAATGCTGAAGAAGAAGGCCAACCAGAGAGACGAGTGGAGGCGGGTGATATCTGCAGCAATGAACCCCAAGGATTCGCTCGGAACGCTAAAGAAGAAGTATTTTAGAGACGTAAATCTAGTGGTGTATTTATAATACAAATAGCCAACAGTAATAATAAATAGTGCATAAGTGGGGCAGCTATCCAGAAACCAAGTTCTGCGGGAAACACCAGCGCCGCCCCCCCCCCCCTCCCCCCGGGCCTGCCTTATAGGATTAGAAAATCTCAATCAGCACAAGAAAACATCTCATACAAAGCATTTTCATACCTACCCTATGCTACCAGTGCCAGACATGGACACACAACAAACTAGTAACTATGGAAATGAGATCCATGAGAAGGGTTGCAGGATTGATCAAGAGAATGTACAACCAAAAAATGAGATCATAAATAGAAAAGGTAGGCACAGAACCAGATTACATCAAAGACGGTTGATAGAATGGTTTGACCACTTAAAGAGAATACCTCCTGGTGAAGCCATACTGACAAGCCATACAGCAAAAGAGGAGAAGGGCGTAGAGCATGAGGTAGACCAAGGACAACATGGAAAGATAACATCAAAGGAGCTCTGAAACTCCTTCTGTTCGATGTGGCTAGAAGAGCAAGAAGCAGAACTAATGTCGCTCTATAACTGAAGAAGTAAAAGAGGAGATGATGAAGAAGAAGAAGAGAAGAAGAAGAGAAAAAAGAAGACGTGATTAATTTATCTGCAGAACGGACAAACAGATAAAGACCTTAAGCGCACCTTCCTGTCTGGGACCCATGCTGAATAATCGTTGATCACAGAAGAAGAGAAAGTGTCCTTACAGATGTAGAGCCAAAGCGAGAAAGCTGTTCTCACTATTGGACACCTCGGTCGTTATGTTAATGGAGATACTAAGTGCACTACCTTGACTGATAAGGTTTATCAGAAGCTGCAGATGACACCTGATGTCATCGAACTAATGATAACAGAATTACTGACGTGCGACACCACCCCGACCTGTGGTCTAGGTTATCCATAATTTAGAAGTTATGTTTAGTACATTTTAAGAATTCTTCTTCTTTTTCTTTTCGATCGATTTTATATAAAGTAAAGGTAAAGTCGGGAGATGTGAACCAGCGTAATTACACACGGTTATTAACCTAAGTGCTCTGCCACCAGTACCGACAGCTGATAAGAAACTGTCCACCTGTGTCGCCGTCCGCACGCAACTCCGTAGCTACAACGACGTTTCTCCATTTACCCCCGAGTGTTAACTCTGGTACCCATTTCCTAGAGGCTGGGTGAGCCCCGTTACCCACCCGGTTTCGTAGACTGCAGCCAGTCGCAACTGGATTTGAAAGCGAGTCTCCTATCGGCTGCGCTAAAGCATAGTTTTCATATGTTCAGACTCACCTGAAGTAACTGCTGCTTCGAAGGACCGATGACGCATGGGATTGCACAATGAGCTGTGGCGTTGACTGTGATAACGTAACAAGACTAGCGCTGTTGTATAGCCCCATAATGGCTAGAAGAGAACATAAATGGCAGGTGTGGGTCTTTGATTATGATTATGATGATGATGATTATCATGATAAACAAATGTTTGTTTGTTTGTTTTAGTATCCAGAAGCCATGAGTTGTTAACCCTTAGGCTCGGTATTATGGATATCGCAACCTTTCGGCTTTGATTCCATTTTAAATACCGTAAATCTGGGATAAATGTGGCTTTTCTGCCTACCCCCGGGAGTGAACCCGGACCACAAGGAGTTCGTCACCCGCTCGCCGCGCAATCCGGTTTAGCCTACTACGCTAGAGAGACGGGCTATAAACATTGATCTCTAAGTGAGAACACCTCACCTGAAAAGGCCAGTAGGAATGATGAAAGCTATCGTTCAGTCCAGATCCGCCCTTGTGGCATGCATACATTTTTGTTTTGACTGAGAGTGGCACATGCAAGATGTGTGCCAACAGAGCTGGAATGCGTGCTCAGCATTTGCATGTGACAAGTTCCAAGGACACATCTCCGTGTGTAGGATATCGAAAAACTTGAACACATGTTAGTTGAGAATTGATATCACA